TTTTCGCAACAACGATGAAAGGTAAAGACATTATGTAATAATTACTCTTTTAATAATTTATTTGGGACTCATTTGCAATTTTTTAAAAAATGAGACTATGGTTGCAATTAGTTTTTCATTTTTCTTTTATTTAAAGAGAAGGATATATTCCTTATTTCAATATTTTTAATTGAGAAAATGAATGAAAATGACATTTTGCGCAATGAATAAGGGTGAAAATGCCAAAAAATGAAAGGTAGAAATGTTTTCCATAATAGTAGTGAAATGTGAAGACGTTATGTGCTAATTACCCATCTTAAAAATGTTTTGTCAAACATTTAGGATTTATTTGATGTAGATTTTTTTGAAACTCAATTTTGTTAAAAATGATTATTTTAAAGAATGCTTTGTTAAAAAGTATAAAAAAAAAAAAAAAAAGTTATGGATGCAATTTTTTTTTTTCTTTTTGGAGAATGTGTTATTTAAAAATGAATTGAGAAAAAATAAATCAAGCAGGGGGATTGCTAATCCTTAAAATTTTAAGATGCAAAATTAAATTAACATTCTTTAAATCTAACTCTATAATTCATCCTCCAATATTCTACCATTAACTCAAAGAACGAAGAATAATGTTTTAATGCGCGAGCCTTCTGTATGAGAAAATTTTTTGGTTATATTTTTCTTGGAACGCTTCTTTTGGTGAACCATGCACAAGCTTGATCCTGATGAGTGGGGGTTTTCCTAAAGCTATTACTTGTTATGACAAGGCCACGTCTCGAATGGAGTATGTGGAAGAAGGTTATTTTGATATAGCAGACTCCATTATCTAGAACGATGAAGTAATTGTTCACACTCTTCAGAAAGAGTTAACAAGACTCGAAACTGCTGAGGCATCAGGATCTACGTGCGCTGAAGAACAAGATCAGCAAGCATCTATTCTCGCTCATGATTGGCTTGGTTCTTCAAGAAAGCATTTTGATTTCGATGACAAGTGTAATCAAGAAGAGGGGCGTGGAAAGGGAATGGTTGCCGATAACCCTGGAGAGTTATTGTCCGAGGATAAGGAATGGTAAGTCTAACCAAGATTGCTGATGAACTCATTCTCGATGGTGAATTAGGAGCAAGGCTGAATGAGATGGTTCCAGTACCTTGTGTTCCCAAAACTAATGGAGAAATTCCCTCCATTGATGATGCCATGTCAGATCATGAAAGGTTGCTCGCCATATTAGAGTTATATGATCTGGTCGAGGTTAAAATTTCCAGGGATGAGAAAAAATTGTCAACCAGCTGAAGTCTCATCGAGAGCTGTATGAAAATTATGTTCCCATGGCCTATGACGACTACTTGAAAAAAGTGAGAAAGACAGGGGAATGGAGTGATCACGTCACATTGCAGGCTGCTGCAGACGCGTATGGAGTCAAGATCTTTGTGATTACATCATTCAAGGATACGTGCTATATCGAGATTCTTCCACAAACACTGATGCCAGACATAATGATATTCTTGAGCTTCTGGGCCGAAGTGCACTACAATTCAATGTGATCCACATGATAGCATGTCCTCGCCCGTCAAGCCTCTTGGGCAACACTAGTTGTTCGTGTGAAACCTGTAAGCATATTAGATCGTTGACAAGTAATAAAATTGATGAGTTGAGAGTATCATCCCATAAGAAATAAATTCAATTCAAATTTACTAACTTTTTATGGGATTAGAATTATGTAAACAAAAGAGAGTTTGATTTTATTTTATGTTTAATTAATCTAAGAAAGCTGTAAAAAGTGTTTTGTATCAAATTATGGATGATTGTATTGGATTTTGAATCCTCCTATTGCTATCTATTTCAATTCTTGATTTGTAATTTAGTTCCGTTCATGCGTTCCTGACAATCGATAAAATTATGATATAAAATTTTCTTTTCCAAGACAAATTAAATATATCCTAACCACGACTCGAATCTATTCCTACCCCCAAATTCAAATGATTAGAATGCATTAAAGTTTAGATTATCTATATGATTGCACACATGATAGCTGTTATTCCTAACATCTATTGCACATATATTAATTTTGCCGCGTTCTTAACTTATTGTGAGTATCCAAACACTACAATAAGCAACTAGTTATCTAATTGGCAGTCAATCAATTAAATAATGTAATTGGTATGCAAAATGAATCAAAAAACGCAAAAAATAAACAAAACTACTAGTCCTGAATTAAAACAAATAAACAATAGGGTTCATTTTCATCCAATACAAAAAGGGATCTAGCCAGCATGTTAATATAAAAATTACAAAAAAATAATAATAAAAAAATATCACTTGGATCATGAAATAAATCAAAAGATGTTGATCTTCAATTTCACGGTTGAATTTTTCAAAATCTTGATGTAATTAACCTTCAATTCCTTGCTAGGGCTTGATCTCCTCTCTCAAAATATAGCAATTGACCCATTGTTCTTGATAAATTTGATGATACTATTGAGTATGAAGAGGCAAGAGATTTTATTTTTTTAATGTGTAACCATCGTTCGCTATTTATAAGAGTCAGAAAATATGTCAAAATCGCGTTCAATTTGAGTTCCAAAAGAGTTTGAATCCGAAATGAAACTAAAGATTCATTTGTGAAATGCCCTCCCTCCCCCTGTGCCATATAGCCAAATGACTATTGGGTTGGGGAAAACAGGGTGCCGCGCGGGCCATGAATTGCTCATGCGCGCCCGTAAGTCGATTTTGTTCGTCCTTCAGTAGCTCTCAGTATTTTGACCATAACCTTCTCTATAGATATTCGATTGAGGTGATTTAAAATGAGTTGGAAATGTAATTCAAAGGAATACAATTCTTTTAGAAATACAATTTTTCCAATTCGAACGTTCAATATCGAACAATGGGTCTCAAGTTGAGGCTAAAAATAGATAGCATAACTTTTTCGGCTGGAAATTGATTTGTGAAAATACTTCCACTATATTTCACTCATTTGACCTCCAATTACATCCAATTAATCCTATATGATCTGCAATCATTGTTTTGTGCTCCGAATCAACTATTGAATGTTTACACTTTGGTCCCCAAACTTTGAATTTCCTTCGTTTTCGCACATTTTTCGTTCTTTTCTTCCAAACCAACCAATTTGCATTGAGTTCAACTTAACAAATATAATTAACACAAAGTTAAGTTATAACACATCCAAATCAATAATAAATACTCTAATCTAATGGCCTAGATAAGTGTACAAAATACACTTATCACTAGTCTACACGTTCTTCCAACTAGGAAATCTATCGTGTTGTTTAGGTGAATTTCAATCCAGTAAATATACAATTTAGTCCTTATACAGATATTAGCTTGCTCGCAAGTACAAATCAATTCTGATGACATTCATATGTCTATTTTTTTTTTAGTACACGTTAGTTTACTGGTGTGACTATTTACATACACAATTATTATATATTTTTCCCACAATTATTATATATTTTTTCCATTCTATATCCATCCATATTAAAATTTTAAAAAATTACTATTTTCATCCACTTCAAATTCCCATATTGTTATTATTAAATTCATTCATTTAAACACTATAAATCCACACAAATTTTATATATTCGTCCCACTTTAAACACATCTCTAATACAATTTCAAATTTTTAAAAAAGCACTACATTCATCCAAACTTTAATGTAAAGT